AACAGGATAGATTTCTGTTTTATAGCTAAAACCTAACACTCACTATGTACACATTTTTTATTGTAAAAAGTGACACGAGGCTAAATCATAATAATGTGGATCAATAACTAATTAGCATTTATAAATGCAGCTACTGGGAAACATATTTCAATTTTATAGCAAGACAGCTAAAGAATCAATGAATAAAGCCAAGAGTGAAGGGAAAGCAGGTCTGGCATGCCCAGAACAACTTCAGAGATGAAATGTGGAATGCAAATGGAGTCACAGACGTGTCCCCTGAAAGCCACTATCTCAAGTCAAGGCAATCATTTAGACAAAGAGGAAAAGCATGAGGCACACAGCCCTTGGAGCCTCACCAAATTCATCTTCTCTGGCCAGTTTTCTAGGATGGAGATGAGGGAGACAGAGGAAAAGGCAGTAGGAGACCATGGAGAAAGCAACCAGGCTCGACAAGATTTGCTGCACATGTAGGGTGTGGGAAAGATACAGACATGTTCTGCTTAGGTGCGCTGAGCTCCCGCCACAGGCGATGAAACAGAGGGAACATGTTGGCTGCACAGAATGACGAACATAGTGTCACTCAATTGTACACAGAAAAATGCTGAAATAGAAAATGTGTTGCTATCCCTATATATAGAAAGAGTGTGTGCTGGTGTGGTGTTGCAGGATAATGAGCTGAACTGCAAGGTCAGTTTGAGCTGCAAGGTGTAGATATAAATATAGATATACATATACATACACATAGATATATATATACATAGACTCCTGGTGTGGCGCTGTAGAATAAGCACTGAACTTTGAACCAGAGGTCAACAGTTCAAACCCACCAGCTGCTCCTTGGAAACCTTATGCAGGAATGCTGTAAGTTGGACTTGACAGCACTTAACAAAAATATATAGGGTTTCTGATGAGGGACTAGTGTGTTTGAACTGACCTCGTGGTCCGGCGCTTATCCTAAGGTGCCACATCAGAACTGCATATAGATAGACAGCTAGACATATATCTCAATTTAAGAAAAAAAAAAAAAAAAGGTGCATGAATCAGGAACAGTTGTTGAAGTAGATTCCAGAAGATAGATGGCAAGGCGCTCTGGTAGCATAGTGGTTACGAATCAGGCTGCTAACCTCAGGGTCAGCAGTTTGAAACTACCAGCTGTTCGGCAGGAGAAAGATGAGGCTTTCTGTTCCTTTAAAGATTTACAGTCTTGGAAACCCTGTACAGGGTCACTATGAGTCGGAACCGACTCCACGGCACGTAACAATAACAACAACATATATAGATGGCATCTCTCCCTTCCGACTTGGTATGTGTAAGGAAGAAGATTCAAGTCTTGGTGATACAATATTTAATGGCTCAGGTCCTAACCAAAAGGTTAGCTCTGCAGGAGAAAGATCTGGAGATCAGCTCCAATAAAGACGACAGCCTAGAAAACCCTATGGGGCAGTTCTACTATATCACATCAGGTCACTGAGTAGAAATTGACTATACAGCGCCCCACCAGGAAGAAGACTGAAGTACATTAGTTAAAATGAGAATCAAACCGATTTTCCACAGCTTCTAACATGTGTTGGTTTCCTGACATGACTGTGTCGCACTTAAACATCTGTTTAGCTGCTGCTCATTGTTGACATGATCTGGTTCCGTGCCCATCACATACAGCAGTCTTATTCCCCAATGGTCACTAGAGAGACTAAATGTCCCTCTGAGTCATGAGCCAGGAAGTAAGGGGAAAAAAGGAAATGACTAAAATATGTTGTTTTTATAAAGTGCCGTTGAGTCTACTGACTCATACTGACTCTGTATAGGGTTTCCAAAGAGCAGCTGGTGAGTTTGAACCACCAACCTTGAATATGTATATGAGAAGTGGAAAAAAGGATATGTGAGAAGAAAACCCAATGATAAAATGTAATATGTAAATGGAAAAGTCACATGTTGTATCCTGCATGTGTTTTCTACTACACTGAGCATCACTGTTAACTGTCATTGAGTCTGCCCCGACTTAAGACAGCTCTATCCTCAACAGAACACTACCGATCCTGCATCATCCCCATAGTCAGTTGCACATCAGACCTTTGTGATCCATTTGAGTTTCATTGGTGGATTTTCAGAAAGAGATTGCCAGGCATTAATTCCTAGTCTGAATTAGTATGGAAGCTCTGCGAAAGTCTGTTCAGCATCATAGCAGTACACAAGCCTCCACTGACAGATGGTTGGTGGCTGTACATGAGGGGTCTAGATTCACATCTGTGTCTCCTACGTGGAAGATGAGACTTCTCCACTGAACCATCACTGCTAGGGAAGAGACAAAGCCTTTTCCATCTCTCCTGGGACACCCAGGACCACAATAACCTTCCACAAGGCAAGGCTTCTTCACACCAATATCTGATGAAGTCATAGATTTATTCCAGCAAAGCTTTGAAACACTTTGGGTATTAACTTACATAAAACTCACATTTCAGTCAGCCTGCATTGCATTACCAAGGTCGTCAACAGCTCTCCTTGGCATTGCAGACCATCTGACATGTTAATGTCCCAAACCATAGACTGTCTCACCAGTACCTGTGTTCTGTCCATTCCTAGTCCTTCGGTCTTGGCTCATCTTTGGGAGTCACCAGTTGTAAAAAGTAGTCATGGATAGCTGTATCCAACTTTGGAGCCTTCCATTCCACTTTTCCCTTCTATCCAACCTGACTTTTCTTTCAGACTTCCTGGGTCAGAGAGTCTCCCATCTCCTCCCATAATACAGAGTATATACCTGTATCCTGGAACTTACTACTAATACAAGGCTGGCTCTCCTACTAGAATGGAATCTTCCTGGGAACAGAGATTGGGTCAAAGAATCCCCCATGCTAGATACAGCGCCTGACACATAGAGTTTAATAATGTGCAACAGTGAAACCAATGAATGCTATTCATTTTTGGAAATAACAGGAATCTGGATAGCTAATGAAGATCACGATGGCAAATTTTTATCATCAATAGAGAAGCCCTCCAATTACTTATCAAAATGAATTTTAATATGCAACACTGAAGTCACGTTTTATACCAATCTTCCTCAGACTTATTGATAATCTTAAAGCAATAGCTGTATTTTAGTCAATGATTAAAACCCACTAGCCAAGCTCTACTCTTTAAAATTCCTCTAGCATTTGTAATTTCTTCTCTCCTTCTGTCTGTCACAACGATCAAGTAGCATTTATCCACAAATGGCAAGTGCCATAAATGATGGCTGACTGCTTCTTCTCAAGCTGCTGGTTTTCTTAGCTCTTGCTCATGTGAGTAGCCAATGTGGGTTGGCCAGTTTCCCTCATGTAAATTTCCATGAGTAAAAGTTTCCAGACCACTGTGAATCTTCCTCCACCATGGTAAAGTATCAAGTTTTCAGGAGGTCGCCAGGCCACCAAGGACAGATGGTTTTCTCCAGGGCATTATGAACTTAAACACAGTAGCATATCTTTCCCAAGATATAAATGCATGCCTACTTTTCTTTCTAGAGAGAAGCACCGTCTGTTTTCTATCCAGCTACGTTCTTGCATACAAATCCCTTGCAAACTATTTTTCAAATTCCAAGGTTCATTAATTTAATTGAATCGCTTCCTAATTTTTAATTAAATCTGCATTTCTCCCAGTAACCTTTGGAAAGAGATAGAAGCCACATTAACATATTGGAGAGAGTGGATCCAGACCAAGACAGACATAAAAGAGAAACACAGCAGGTTTTCATAGAAATTTATTTTTCGTACCGAAAAATGAACATTCAAAGGCATTGTTTTTATGGTACAGTATAAAATAATATCCACTAAGTTAAAAATGAGATTTTTTCTTTGTTTTGTTTTGCTTATAAGCCACTGATAACATTTCCATGAAAAATAACACAAAATGTACAGTTTGCAGCACTTGTAGAAAACACACCTGTTCAATAATTATATAAATACTCTTGACAGATTTCAGCAGCCCATTACGCATCCTTCTAGGCAATGTCAGCTTTCTATAGCCAATTAGCTTCTAAATTTGAAAGGCACCTGGTGGCTAGCATCCTAATTATTATTCAAGACATCCATTTTGGTTTTGGTTTGTTGCACAGACTTGACAAGTCTGAAGACTCTATTAACTTAATAAGAATGAAGAAATAGAATATATTTGGTATTAGCAAACAGCACTTCCCCCCCTTCCCCAAAGGATTTACAAAAGTGCACCAGTTAAATATATCTGTACATTTAAAACATTAAATATGTCAATAGCAAAACGTTTTAAATATTTCAAACCAAATACTATAGCACAAATATAATTTACAATCCTTCTCACAGAAAACATTACATCTGAAATATAACTTTAGATATTATATAAAAATACATATTATTTTCTCTCCATGTTAGAAAAAAAAAAAGCATTTGCAGGTTCCAGCATGATGTAACAATTCAAAAGAAGTAACTTAACCCTTTAGGTGGCCACCCTTTTGCAATTAGATGATAACCCTCTCCACCCCAACCACATGGAGACACATCACCGGGGCTGGTGGTGGCGGTCGTTCAGTTGATCTCAACTCGTGTCGACTCAGGGGGTTAACAAAGCTGTGACCTTTACAGAAGCAGACAGCCAGGTCTGTCTCCCGAGGCACCTCTGGCTAAGTTCAAACTACCAACTTTTCAGCAAGTAATAGAGCGCTGAGCTGTCCATGCCATCCAGGGACCCCAAAACCAGGGGCTAGATGCAGATCATTAATGCCCTGTTTTCCAGTAGCCTAAATGCATCTTTTCTTATGGCCAACCATAATTGCTCCAGTCTGGTTTAATTCTAGGAATTCATTACAAAACTTAAAAACCGTTGTGTACGAAAGCCTTTAAACTATAACATACCTAGAGTCCAACATCTCACGTCGACTGTAAATACACACGCCCTCTCCTAGGTCGAGAGCATGCACAGAGAGTCTTACTGCACCGCTGTGGTCGTGTCTCTTCTTGGTCTCACACACCTATATACATCTTTCTTGGCTTTTTACAACATTCCACACAAATGGGGCTCAATCTATATCTCGAACTTTAAAAGCCCCAAAGTAAGTGGCATCTTGATCTGGATCCAGTAGTGAAGGGTTGGATACCTGGATACTTATTTCTTCTCCAGATCGCAGCTTGAAGAATCCTCCGACATTTATGGAATAAAAATGGAATTCTGAATTTCCAGACCAGTATTTGGTGCTTCCTCCTTTCATCAGGGTATGTGAACTCGGGATTTTGATGCTGGTTTTAGTGACATACACCATCAGCTGAAGATACTCCGTGGCCAAGTCTCCTGACGCTTCATGATGTCGGAAGCAGATGTTGGCATACAGGTAATAAAAGCCATCTTGGTTAACCATCAGTTTCCCGTTGCTGAAAGTCATGTTGGAGATCTTTGCCCAACCTCGGTCATGGTACCAAGAGGAAAGACTCACTTTGTGAGATCCTGAGGAAAAAAGAGTCACATGACAGTCAGTCCCTCGGATGAGGAGATTCTTGGAGAAAAGCAATGTCTAATAATCATTATTCCAGTGGTAGGAAAACCTCTTAGAATCTGACTTCTAAAGGGGGAGAAATGCATTTAAATATACTCAGCACTTTCTGCTAGGCACTTTAGAGAGGTATTGTTGCCAGCTCTGTTTAGCCAGCCCCCAACTCATGAACAACGGAACAAAACGCTCCCCAGTCTTATACCATGTCCAGGGGGGTTGTCATTGACTGCTTTTCATAAGTAAATAGCCAGGCTTTCCTTCCTATTCTTTCTTAGTCTAGATGGATGGTGGTTGTGTATATGAGGCACACTGGCCTGGAATTAAATGTGCAATCTCATACACTAGTGGTGGTGTTAAGCCATCAAGTCAGTTCTAACTCAGAGCCACCGTAGATAGGATTTCCAGGGAATGGCTGGTGGTTTTGAGCCTCTGGCCTTGCAGTTTGTGCAGTGTTTATCCTACAGCCCACAGTAGCGCTCCATCTTCTCCATAGAAGGCAAGGATCTAGGGTCAGGCTGAAGGTCACATTGATGTCCAGCACTAATGAAGCACATTAATCCCTTCTTATCACTACCCCTAGTGCCCATGCTCATTGCTGCCAGGTGTTAAAGAAGCTATTATTGCCAGTTTCTGTCCATTCAATTCCAACTCATGCTAACCCATGTGTGCACATAAGAACTTCTCCAGATGGTTTTTTAGGGCATGACCTCTTGGCAGTAGATTGCCAGGTCTGTCAGGTCTTTTGAGGCTCCAAGTGGTTCGGACCACCAACCTTTCAGCTAGTAGTCAAGCTCTTAACTGTTCATGCCACCTGAGCCACATGCTGAAGACACATGCCTCTGCAAATATTTAGCTTGAAGATGCATTCTGGTCTCAAAAAGATGAAGACAGGTCAAAAGGTATTGCTACTAGGGTTCCAGTTCATAAATGTATGGGTTTATTGCAAACAAAATGTGTTTAAACGTGGCTCTGTGATCAGTGGATGGTTGCACACAAGTTCTTTCAGTGATACCCTTGTCTTCAACTCATTAAGGCACCTTCAGTAATAGGTCCAATCAAAACAGTGGCTTCCAAGGGGATCTGCTGGGCCAGTGAAAGGTCAACTCAGAAGGTTATGGCGACTTTTGGAGGGAATTACTGAGGGGTAATCATGGTGACCTCATGCACAGCAGAACAAAACACTCCCCAGCCCTATGCCATCTCCATAATTAGGTGTGGATCAGACTATTGTGATCTCTGGGGTCTTCACTGTCTGATTCACAGGACCATCATGGGGGCTTAAAATGGAGAAGTTTTAAGAAAATTGCAAACTTCATTGATGCGTAAAGGACAGGATACTAACACAGAGGACTTTTCCCCCACTGCTCCTGCTTGTTCTTTGATGATAGCAAGGGCTGTACTTTGCTCATTGGGAAACCTTACCCCATCCACTCTGTATCCCTGATCTTTCCCCTTCAGACTTCTTTTTGCTTCTCAAACTCCAAATATTTAAAAGGAACATGATTTGAGCCCCGTGTGGATGTAAATAGAGAGTGTAGAATTCGTCAGGGAAAGGTTAGAGAGATGGAAACACTGTCTTAAGAAGTATGTGTTGACCAAAATGGAGGATATGTCAAAAAAAACAAAACAAAACAAAACAAAACAGCTTCAACATTCTGATATTTTTGTTTAATAAATACTGTTTTATAGCAATACTTTTTAACTCATTTTATAGCAATACTTTTTAACTCACCATTGTACTTTCTAATGCATTAGATTCAAGAAACTGGAAATATATAATAGTCAACATACGGCATATCCTGATCTCTGATGTGTAAATAAAGTATAAAACAGAACTCCAAATGCAAAATTAAAGTTATCTTCCCTTGAAGTACCCACTACTGGCCAAAACTAGGTAAGAAATCAACTCAGGGGATTACTGGTCCAGCCGGAGCTACAAATCCCATTTTCTTAAGCAGAAGCATCCACTAACTCATTTCATTCAGACACAAACTCAATAACCCTCAGAAAATAACCAGGAGTTTTGTGTCTCTTTTTTTGGCAATGATTTGATGTTACGTGCCTCCAGACACAGCTTTATAATGAAAACATGCTTGCTCTTGCCAGACAGACTTTGGCATACAGTCTAATGCAGTATTTATCATATGCCATTTAAAGGAAGATGAAAAGATAAATGTAGAGTGTGTTCACAGCACACACCAGATGATGTACCAGTATTAATTTGATTGCCTTTGCTCATATGCAAAATAGTTTTCCACTCAGAGAAAATTATGTAGTTCTTCCATAAAGTGCTCCTTTCCCCCTTTTCCCCAACACATATAATTTGCTTGTGAAGCAACAAATATCTAGGACAGGCTAGATGGTTTAGGGAAATCTTCTAAAGGCTTAAGAGGTGGTTTCTTATATCCTGTCTTCAGCTAGTAATCACCCTTCCTTGCACTATCGTGTAGGCTGCTTGGTATAGGTGACTTGTAACTGCCTGTTAACCTGAAGGATGGCAGTTTGAACCCACTCAGTGGTGATGCAGAAGAAAGGTCTGGCATTCTGCTTCCATAAATACAACAGCAAGACGACCCTATGGAGCAGTTCTACTCTGTAACACATGAGGTTGTCATGAGTTGGAACCAACTCTATGGCAACAGGCATGGTTTTTTTCTGTTTGGTGCTATAGTAATGGCTTCAAAATAATTTATTAAACTTTCGATTTTTTTTTAAATCAGAAAAAATTGACTTAATACACAAGAAGGGGGAGGGAATGGAAGAACAAGGCAGATGGGAGAACATTTAGGCAGGTTTGCATGGGCTAAATGGGACAGAGATAAATAGTGATGTATGCTCAACCTTGGAAAAACGGGGTTCCATGATATAGGGATTGAGGCATGGTTTGAAAGAGGGGAAATAATGTTAAGATGCTTGACAGTCTTATGAATCTTGGTTTCCCTTGGCTACTATTGTAAAATAGACACTTGAGGGGGGGAGAGAAAGGAATAGCCAGAAACATCACTACAGAAAACTTATAAGCCCAGTCTATAACTGATTAGAATAACTAAAATGGAGCTAGAACTTGCCCAGTGAAAGAGGCTTCCTGTGGAGCCTTTGCATTGCATAAGACCATAGGTAGAATCCTGATCACCATCCAGAATCTTCTGAGGTGGGAAATTTCCACTTGAAAAGACAAGCAGACCAGCCTGGAGCAGCTAGAGGAACAGAAGATACCTCTTGAAAGAAAGACCGGCAAGAAAAATCAAAAACAATAAAGGCAGTCTGATTGACTACTACAAAACCAGGAGAGGAAAGAAGGGGGGGGGGGGAGTGAGCTGATACATTCTGATGAACTTGACCTATACCTATGGAGCAGCGACTCAAAAGAGGGAACAAATCCTCACAGCAAGAAACATTCACACACACACACACACACACACACACACACAGAGTGGACGGAGAAGGGCAGCTTGGACATTGAATACTCAAATGGGGAGGGGGGGACTACAAAGGCAAGAAGTGACTGGCTTACAAGCTTTCAAGAGGGAACCTGGTGCTAGGGAGCATGGCGGAAGGCAGAATCTCCAGAAGGTACTATTCAATCTGTCTGGGTGGAGCTGATGAAAGAAGATACAGATGGGTAACTCATGATACTGTAGTGAATAATGCTTATCAGAACAGATTATGAGGGTTGGAAATGCAAAGGTAGATGTTTTGTAACAAGGAAGGGAGTGATTAATTTCCCAGGATAGGAGCGGAGGTCTCTGGGACCATCAATGGAGAAGAGCCGAGAGCGGGACCCTACCCAGAGAAACAGAGATGCCTGGGATAGAGACAGAGATGATGACGTGGAGTGATGAAGCAACTGGGGACTTTGGACCCAGAGAGGGAAAGGGACTGTGGGCCAAAAACTGGGGGGGAGGAGGGGGAAGTGTAGGGGGTGGGTTTCTGGGATATACCCTTTGGGTGGTTGATGATGCACGGAGGGGACTGGAACCATGGCAATGAGATGATATACGATGGAATGAATGTAAAACTAAAGTTCTCCCATGTAAACTATGATATAATTCACAATAAAACATTAAAAAACAAACAAGCAAGCAAGTTGTTCACCGGGGAGCCATCAAGGCAAACAATCAAGTCCCCTCAGTGCAAACCCCGTTCCAATACTGAAACTCAAAGGGAATACATGAGCAGGCATGTAATCTTGCTGGTGACCACATTGGTCTACCGATAAAGAGAAGTAGGGGAAAAACAGCAATGAAGCTGTGAGCTAAGTCCAATCACGTCAATAGACTCCTGTCAACCTGGATCCCGACCTGGGTGGCCAGCAGTATAGCGAGATCTGGGAACTCCTGAGCCCATGGACAGGGACACAGTCACAGAGGACTAGAGCAAAGAGTGAAGCATCCAACTGATGTGAAGTGAGGAGAGATGCACAAGAATGCCCATACTTGCAGATGGTGCCCATCTGACCTAGCTTCAATGGACAGATGATGAGAATTCAACTAGAGGAAAAAGAGTATAATCTGCTACAGTTTGATTAACAAGGATGGGCAACTTAGACATTGGCTAACCAAAATGAGGAGTGGGGCAGCAAAAGCACAAAGTGACTGGCTTACAAACTTTCAGGAAGGAGTTTAGTTTGAAAGGGGTGGGGGAAGGTAGAATCTCCACTTAATGGCTTCCAACCTGTCTAGACAGGACTAGTGAAAGGAGATGGGGATAAGACTCTTGTGGTTAAATAGTTAATAATTGCTATCAGGACTGATTATAAATGTTGCAAATGTAAAGGTAGACATTTTGTAACAAAAGGAGGGGAGTGGTTGATCTTGCAGATCGGAGCAGAGGGCCCTGGGACCATCAAGGGAGAGGGGAGTGCGGGACCCTATCCAGAGAAGCAGTGATGCCAGAGATGATGAGGTGGAGAGATGGAGTGGCTGGGGACTCTAGACTCAAGGAGGGAGAGGGG